CATGCCGGGCCTGAAGGTGTTAATAGTAGAGCTTATTGCACTATGGAAGGAAAATATCATATGGGCCCATGAGAGAAAGTTGCTTAGGTATGTAGAGTTTGTTGCTAAGTGTCGCACTAAAGGATGAAGTTGTGATGTATTTGCAGTGGAAGTATGTTGTTGTGGTTTTTTTTTCTTTTTTTTTAGGGAGAGTTAGAATTGTGGGGGAATGCCTGAGAGAAGCATTGAAAGAAGTAGGTCAGGTTGTCGATAATAGCTCTGCATGGATATGGAACCAGCACAATAAGACAAGGTGCAGGTAATGACTGGTGATGTCCAATGCTCAGTAGAGGATTTCATTTGCTGCTGGGGTCGACTGTGGGTGCAATACTGGAATAGGCCTCGAAATAATGACACCCACGGTTTGCACATGATGATCTTAGCATCAAGTAGTTGTTGAGGCCACTATATGTTCTGTTCTAAAACGAAAATACTGTTTAGTGTACTTCAACTAGTTCCACCTACAATAAGTATTTTTTTAATCATGAAACAAGACTAGTGAGAAAGCATATTTGTAATCTATACAAAGTTTGATAAGCTTTTAATATTAATGTACTTTAATATGATATTGAACTTATTGACTGATATACCCTATGGGATATTTATTCTCTGCACAGCGCAGGTACTAAAACCCGATTTTGAGAGATATAAGCTCTCAGATTTACCGATGAGCGGCTGAAGGCGTGAAAATGGGTGAGTGTGAAATTCGTAATAAAACTGTTTGGTTAAGAATGAAGAGATTGTCATAAAAATGGACAACATGGAATCTTTGTGGTATTCTCAGATGTATCGTTAACCTAATAAGTAAGTGTAGTAGCACATTAACGAGAGATATGGCAGAAAAGGTAACTTAGAGCCAAAATTGAATTTTTGACTTAACTCAGTTGAATAAAAGAAACTGCATACAATGTTAAAACAATCTGAAAATCAATCTTTATTTGCTTACAACACCACTCAAAGACTTGATGCACATAGAATGTGGTGTCACCACACATATCTTTCCTATATATGACACGTTTTATGACATAAAAATGTTACATTTTTCTGAAATTCTAATTTGGAAAATACTAAATTCGATGAATCCTAGAATTCAGCCATGACAGTTATGTGCTGTTTCATGAGGATAATTGTATCGTGTTTTACATTGTCTTTTGTATATTAGACTGTTCTACCACTCTAGCATGGAACAAAATACGTCCGGACACTTGTGATCCAATTTTCTGATTGGTCAGCTACAGAGGGCATGTGAATTTAAAGCAGTAATGATATTTTTTAATCAGCTTAATTTCTGTCTCGAGAGAGTCAAGATTTGTTGTAGAAGTCTTATCCTTTCTTTGACAAGAAGTGTTTAGTTTGTATATATTCAAATCGTGTCTTGCAGCAAATCAATGCTCTATTCTTCCAGCACCCCCCCCCCCAGTGGCCCAGCGGTATGTTTGCGGACTTACAACGCTAGAAACCGGGTTTCGATACCCGTGGTGGGCATAGCATAGATAGCCCATTGTGTAGCTTTATGCTTAATTTCAAACAAAACAAACAAAAAAAAACTATTCTTCCACGTAGTAGGTGTATGGACTTCTCGTTATTGCAAAAATCAGGTAAATGTGTGCTTGATTAATTTTAGAATACCAAAACTGTATACCAAGAAATACTAACTATCTCATAAATTCACACACTAAAAGCAAGTAAAGGTTCCTAATAAATACACACCAGGGCACATTAACTATCTAATAAACTCACACACTAAAAGCAAGTACCTTAGTAAAAGCAATTAATAAATACACACCAGGGCACATTAACTATCTAATAAACTCACATACTAAAAGCAAGTACTTTAGTAAAAGCAATTAATAAATACACACCAGGGCACATTAACTATCTAATAAACTCACACACTAAAAGCAAGTACGTTAGTAAAAGTAATTAATAAATACACACCAAGGCACATTAACTACCTAATAAACTCACACACTAAAAGTAAAAATATCGATTTAGTTTTAAACTTAAATCGTTTCTGAATTAAACTATTTTGTGTTATATCACCAATGTTTTGATAAAAAACAAACCTCTTTAATCAACGGAGAGTCTAAATTACGAAATCAACAAATATTTTCCTAGTTTTGTTGTCTAAATTACGAAATCAACAAATATTTTCCCACTTTTGTTGTCTATACATTTCTTTTTATACTTTAAATTCATAGTCTAACAACAGTATTAAGTTGCTTAGCAACATGCAATAAAAGGCATTGTTGGAACGTAGTGTTACCAAAATGCACTGGCTTTTCTATATATTAGAAGTTGTTAATCTAACTGATTTTTACCAATAATTATTCTATAAGTACGCCACGAATTCAGTTCATGAATTATCTTAATTTTGAATGGCTCACAAAGGAATTTACCGACGTTTGACTGCCTCGACTATATTTTTCTGCTTCTATGTTGGTCAAGCGTGATTTCACAAAAAGTATTGTTACGACATCGAGGTCACGTGACTAGTATCACGCCACGTCATTCTCGAACTTTCAGGTCTTTTCCTTAAGTCT